TAACCTAACCCTACCCTAACCCTAACCCTAACCCTAACCCTAACCCTAACCCTAACCCTAACCCTAGCTGATGCCTCGTCAACCCTAGCTGATGCCTCATCAACCCTAGCCCCACTCCATTCCTCCCCGCTGTCCACCACTTACTTGCCACTCACTGCCACCCTTGCTACCCCTACCCATCCCATGCATGACCCACATCCACATTCCCACCCACACCACCATACTCATTTTCCACCGCACCATGCGCATGGCTGTGCACTGGCGTGAATTGAGTCTTTGATGCTGATTTGAATCCCCATCCCCCCATTGACACTTGCCTGTGTCACTCGTTCGACCGAGTGGCATGTGTGGGTTGGTGGGTGACATGAATGTCATTCAACATTTTCATGATTCGCCACTCGTCACTCGTTCGATTGTTTGACATTCAATTGATTAACATTGATCATTGTCAATTGATCATTCGATTCTTTCTGTTTCTGTTCTTCTTGGATATCCATGTTTCTTGTTGTTTGCCGTTCATGTTTCCACATGCTTTGTTGTTGCTATTGTCGGCCTTCATGGTCTGCTTTGGTTGCTTTTGCTTTTGATGGTTGACCATACTCGGCATGCATCCTAATTGATCATTGCCTTTGCTCTTGTTGTTGCTTTGTATCATTTTTCGTCATGCTTGAATTGTTCTTGATTCTCCTGTTTTCTTCGACGTTGACTTCCACATCCACCATCGGGCCTTGCTCACTACACTATCGATTCTCAACTTTGTTGTCGTTTGTTGTGGTCAATAGTTTTGCCTGCAATGTATTTTGTGTTGACCCTGTTGTGTCGTGGTCATGGTTGATCTGCAGATCTGATTGATCAACCGCGCCCTGCCTCATCGACCTGAACGTCACCCGAGTTCATCCCATTGCCTGCTAGCTTTGTCCAGTCCCTGTTGGCTTACTCATTTGTGTGCTGTGATTGCCATGTATGACCTCTGGTTGCTGTTGTGGCTGTCTTTGCCTCGTTTGATGCCCGTTCCTGCTCTTCTTCAATTTATTCAACGTTCAACTCAATTAACGTCCGCCGCCTTCCCTCGCCGCCCAAGCCCCTCCACCCTCATCACCCACACCCCACACACAGCCATTAGCCGTATCATACTCACCTTCATCAATGCTCAAGCCCAATCGCCATATCCACCACCTCTTCGTCAGTCCCGCCATCCACGTCACGACCCCCTCATCCCCCCTACCATACTCATTACCACCCGTCACCACATACGACCACCCTCACCCCCTACCCCACCACCATCACTATCAACCCAGCCACAACTCTCACCCCCATGCCATGGCCAAGCCCACCACCATCCCATCGCGCACTCGGCTTCCTCTTCCTCCTCCTCCTCGTCCTCTCCCCGCTCCATCTCACCTCCATCCTCATCCCCGACCCCGACACCCACACTCCTCAACCATCACATGCCATTCTGCCCATCCACCAGCCAACAGCAATGTCAAGCCATCCAGCCTTGACACAGCCCCCTCAGCTGCCCCTGCCTCGCCGGGCACCAGCCGGCAGCCGCCGCCCGCTCGCCCGATCAGTCCACCTTCATCACCACCTAGCTCCTTCCTACTACCAGCTACACAACCCGCGACCACACCCAAGGTCATCACACATCCCACACTATCTCCAGTATCAATATCGCTGTCATCGACACCCATCTTCCTCGGCTCATTTCCGCGTCGGCTTCTTTTGCCTAGGTGGTTGAGCACGCCCTCGACCGCCCGACCCCGCACACAACCCCCATCACACTCATTGCAAGATATGGCCAATCTGATTTCACTACTACCCTACTACACGCCCACACTACCTCCTTGCACAATCTCCAATCCATAGCTGCAGTATTCCAGAATCCGAGTTCTGCCACCTCAGGCCCAAGTTGTTGGCCCTGTGTCCCTTCGATGCTGCTCACCCCCCCGCCGCGGGCCCATCTCCGACCCCCACTCCCCACCATCCCCACCCACAACCACCACACCTACACCACACCTGCCTACCATCCCTACAACCTCACCCATCCAATCCCTGCCCGCGTGGACGTACCTCAGCCGACACCAGCCCGTCAACAGCATCGCTGCCGGCCGCCTGCTGCCTGCCGCTGACCGCCGCCGCCGACCAGCGTCATCCGCCGCCCACCCCAGCCTTGGCCGCTCTGTCGATCGATTTCCATCCTCCGCCCGCCAACCCCTCAACCCCCCTACCGCGCTTAATACACAAGCTAGCGCCCCACCAAACGCACCACAACGAAGCTACAGCCACATAATACAAGACATCCCCCAACCCCACCCCCTTGGGCAGCGGTAGCGCGTGCACGGCGAGGTCTTACCTCGGGCCCGGCCATGGGTCGGGTGCGGGGTGGCCATGGACGGCGCGGTCGTGGAGCGGCCATGGGTGGGGTAGGGGCTGGCCATGTTCGCAAAAATGTGGAGACGTACATGGGTGTGAGGGAGAATGTAGTACAAGGAGGTTACATAGTGTGTTGTGGCGGTGCTAGAAGAGGGTGTGCCGACTGAGACCCGCCGATTGAGAGAGTTCTCGCCACAGGCGCCAAATGCCCAAACATCGGCGCCCGCTGCAAGCAGCGCCATGGTTACGAGGATCGGCAAGCCGAAGGCGCACGACATCGATATAGCCCATGCTAGATGCTGCCCGGACGGTGTCGTTCTCATGGGAACAAGTCAACGCGGTCATCGGTGAGGACGGGAGCAACACGCCTCCCTTCTCGCTCACGACGCCGTCGACCCAACCACCAGCTGCCAGGTCACTACTACATATTGTTAATTTTGTCCGCAATATCCAGTGTGCTCTGGCCCATCTGCGGATCGAGCCGCATGAGGCATCCGAGGGCATCCACAGCACGAGGCCTGTCGCCGAGCAAGAAAAGAGCCCAGCAGAGCGCGTTCTGGCACATAACACACTTCGCGACGACGATCGAGTCCTCGCTAGCTTCGCAGACGGAAAAGGCGTGCGCGGCGTGGTCGGCAGCTTTGGAAAGCCACTGCTTGTACAGCGAGCATGAGGACTCACCCTCCACCGCGTTGCGACGGCGATACTTCTGCGCTGCGCGCCGATACGCCTTGGAGACGAGAACGTGATGGACAACGGTGAGCAGATCACTGCCAAAAGGGTCGAACACCTTCCCCAGTTCGCGTACAAACCTGACAATCTCCTTATCTACCTCTCCGCCGCGCTCGAGGGCGGCGCAGAGCTCACATACAGCGAGCCCAGTGTTGTCCTTACACCCGCGAAGGATGTTGCCAGAGATGCTGATTAGCAAATTGCGCTCCTGGGTGGCCCCAAGCAGCGAAAGGAGGTTGCCAGCATTGCTCAACACAGTGTCGACGTCACGGAGCACCAATTTGCTCCTGTTGTTGTTGTTGTCCAACACGAGGGGCATGCCGAACTTCTTGAGCACGAGACGAGCTACGGTCGGGTGAATAAACACAAAGCCATGCTGGCTTCGACGGAGCAGCCGCATGGTTGTTCTCTCGTGGATGATGAGCGGCATCGGTGGGACAGGGCGATGGTCCTCGGGTCGGGTGTTTTGGTTGTGCGCAAGGATTTCCCCCTGCTTCGACCGCAACGCGACATACCGGTGCGAATTCTGCACTACAATGAAAGGAGTAGCTGCCTCGAAGTCCGACACAGAGAAGAGCTCTATAAACGCCATGACCGCCAGCGGATCGAGAGACTGGGAATCATCTTTGAGCGTCCCATTCACCAGATGTGAGACCGAGGCCACCTCGCCGTACACGGCGGCGAGGAAGAACAGACACATCTCCGCCGTTGCCGACTTCGCCCTCCACTCTCCACGCCGTGTGCTGATCGCCTCTTCGTGCTGAGGGTATCCGAGTAACAGGAGGTTGCAAAGTGTCTTGTACTCCGTCTTGGACAGCCGCGAGCTCACCATGACAGAGCAAACATCATGACGCACATGAAGCGGACCAACGACGTCAACCGTCGTACAGCGGTTCACAATCGACTCGGAGAGCTTCGTGCCGTCGGCAAACACGATGACGTCCTTCTCCTTGACAAGCCTTGCAACAAAAGCATCCAACTCGCACATGTTTGCAGAGTTCGTGGCGTAGAGGACCACGGTGTTGCTGCAGGTAGTCAGCTCAAGAGCGGCCAGCATGGCAGCCGTCGTTGCTCCGGCGCCACGCACGTCTCCATAAACGACAACCTCGCGTGACGACGTCACTGCTGACACAATGCTGGCGACAACGTCGCGGCAAATGACGGCGGTACGTGCCATACTCCTGGCCTTCACCGTCCGGTCGTCTATATGAGAGAGGCATGCCTCCCAAGGAATGGTGCCGGCCTCGGCGGCGGTGCGGATGGCGTCCACACGGTCGTCAGAGCTCACATTGCTCTGATGGCCGACGCTGTTGACGACCACCACACCGGTCGGAGCCTCCTCGTAGAAATAGTGAGGCTGCTCAGACGTGCCGGGGTGCGACAAGTCAGCGAGGAGAGCAGTACCGATACAGGGAAGGGGCGACGTGGCTGAGACGACATGAGCATGCTTCGCGCTCGCTTCGTTGCGCGCGAGGACAACAACTCTAACACCTCCAAGAGTACCGAGCAAGGCGCAAAGCGCCGCCAAGTCATCAAAAAGCACATCAGTGCTCGACTCCTCGTCCACCACCACGATGGCCGTGACAGCCATGCCTTCCTCCACCCAGTCGAGCACATCAGCAAGCGCGCCGCTCGGATCGTCGCATACGTGAAAGCCGGGCTCGATAGCAAACTCAATATCGAACCCGGCGAGCGGGTTATAGACGCCGTCATCGTCGTCATTCGGCTCCGAGCCAATGCGCATATTGACGGTCGAATTGAGCACTGACTGAATCCTGCTCTCAAACGCCATTGGCCGGTGCCGCCACCACAAGGCCATCGGCGGGAGGGTAGAACACTCGCTGCCATCGAAAAGTGTCGCGCCGACACTGGCAGAAAAGTACGGGACGCTAAACGCACGTGTAGCTGGTGAATAGTGGACGAGGAGCTCGACTACAACGGAGCCGGGAACGTCAGTCAGCGTCTTCATCCGCACCTGGATGGCGCCAGGGACGATCGGCGGAAACACACCCAGAAGGAAACGGTCCAGCTCACTGCAGATCTTCTTCAGCCGCGTCGTCGGCTTTGCCAGCTTCACGCCAGGCACGCTACCATCGTCCGCGACGCCGACACGGAGGACAGCCGTGCCCGCCCCATCGCCACGCAGTAGCGCCGCGTTGAGGAAGCGAAGGACGTAGTTGCGGCAATGACCCACAATCGAGTTGACTGCATTGCCCACCTCCACATTCTCGCTCCCGACCGTCTTCCATTCCTCCGTCTCTCCCTCCTCACTGGCTTCGTTGCGCACATCCTCAGCACGGCACGCCTGCACTGGGTCCACTCGAGTCACAATCCAACCGTTCTTGTCCAACGAGATCCGATCCTTCGTTGTCTTGTTAAGCCACGACTGCGGGGGATACGCTCCAGGGCCAGCCCCTTCCATCATTTTCCTCCACAGACTGAAAGAAATGGGCGTGTCTTCACGCCCAGAGATGGTCCCTGGAGTCGCTGCCGCAATCACACACGGCGCCTTGCCCGACACATGCACAATGACCGTCGCGTCGTTGCAATCCTGCACACGCACACGCACACACGTGCGCTTGTACTCCCCCTCAGTCTGCTCGCTTGCAAACGCCATGGGCGAGTCGCCTGACTCCACACACCGAAGCTTCCCCTTGAGCCATCGCTCAAAGCCGTCCCCCCAAGCAGTGACTGCGTCTTGTCCATCACGTTCTTCACGACAATGACGGCACCCTCCTCCTCCTCCTCCTCGCGCGAGTTGCAAATGGCAATCAGCAGGGGAATAATCGCGCTCTTTGTCTGCTCCGCCATAAAGTCGAGTTCAGCCACCACCTTCCCAGGCATGTGCGGCGACGACAGGTCTTGAGCATGACCATGACATGTGGCAGCCATGGTAAAGCTGTCCACCGCTGCCCACCACTGTCTACCGCTGAAGAGAAATGATCCTATGTCCGGGACGGTTGACCACTGTCTGTGACACAGCCGTTAATGACAGGATGATACTGACAGTCGTTGCTGACTCTCGGGTACATGAGCGCCATCGATAGCTCGCGTACACCGATATCAAGGTAAGAATTAGGCGCCCAGAGCCGCCCACCGTCGTCGCGCATCGCCGTCAAAAGGGTGGGCGGGTGGGTTCCCGCTCCGCCGGAGCCGACTGTGTCGACGCCATAGGAGCCCCTGCGTGATAAGGTGTCAGCCGCTGCGCTTCGCTCAGCCAACCGCGAGTGTTAGCGACTGCTGTAGTAGTCCGTATCAACAGTTGCGAATGCCTTCAATGCTGTACTACTTCGAGCGTGAAATCGGCGCGGTTTTGACTCCGCGACGACTTCCGGTCGACCCAAATGGAACCTCGTTGCCTGGCAACGAGTCGGAGCGGTAGCAATCTGCCCCCATCGCGGCGGTATGCCATTGCCGACGCGATCGTTGCCGATGCCGTACTACTGTGCGGCTTGTGTCGGCAGCTCTGTGAGGTACCCTGCCAGCCGCATTGTCTCGCCGGGACGCAAGTCCTGCACGCTCACCACCTTGTTCTCGTCCGCCTCGCGCGCGCTTCGCACGTGGACATGGCGGATGACGTAGGTGAGCGGGACTGTCGGCGGGCTCGTGCCGCCCGCCTGATCGCGCCGGGTCTTGATACCCGAGATGACGTACGGACCCTCGAACTTGAAATTCTTGAGCGCCCGCGGACCGCGCCTCGAGCCCTCGGGCGTCCGCCACCACACCTCGTCGCCGATCTTGAAAGCCTTGGTCTGGCGGGACGCGGCGTTGAGGCCGCCGCCCGCGATCTCCTGGGCCCGCCGCGCCTCGGCCACCGCGGCCCGCCGCATCGCCACCGTCAACTCATGGCGCGTGCCGGGCGGGTCCGCGCCCTTGAAGAGCGCGTACGGAGTGGAGACCACCGAGTGGCCCGGCCGGCGATCGTACTCGCGCGGCGTCTTGTTGTATTCGGCGACCATTCTCTTGATGACCGCAAACCACGAGTTGGGCGAGTCAGTCAGCGGCTTGTTCCATCCGGCGGCCATGGTGGTACGCTTGATGTTCTGCACATGCTTCTCCGCCATCCCATTTCCTTGGGGGTGGCCCTTGGCCGCCGCGGTGATGAGGATCGTGCGATCCTGCTGCGTCGCCCAGCGCTTCACCTCCGCCGACATGAAGCTCTTCTCGCGATCGGCGTGGATGTGGTCGGGGCCAGGGAGGCCTGCGGCGCGGCGCGGGGCGCCTTGCGCCGGCTGCTGCGGCGTCTGCACATTCTCGAGGTCGAAGAGACCCTCCAGGACGTCGATGACCGCGCGCGCCGTGCGATCCGCAAGCAGCCCCACCATGGTGTAGCCGGAGAACGTGTCGACGGCAACCAGTACCCAGTGCTTGTCCTGGTTCTCGCCCCACATGAAGGGACCGACATTGTCGATCGACCACCGCTGGTTCGGCGCGTCGACCCCTGCAGTCACAGCTGCTCCAGGTGCGCCGTGCATCGTGCGGTATGGCTTGGACGCTAAGCACCCGGCGCACCCGTCTGCTACAAGTTGCGCCCACTTGTGGATGTGTTGAATGTCCCAGCCTCGGGCCTTGGCCCGGCGCACCATCGCGTCACGGCCGAGATGGTGCTGCGCGTGGTCCTCCTGAAGCTTTTGGATGTTGCGCAGAATCGCGTGTGGCGGCACGGGACCGAGCGTCCACTCGCCAGTGAACGTTCGCGGGCCCTGGTGCGGGCCTGCTGTTGCCCGCGATTGGGTGCGTCGCGTGCCTGGCGCCGCAGATGTCGGTGTCGCCTCGGCCTCCGACTCGTCGTCGTCCGAGTCGAAAGTCAGCGTTGCGAGGAGCGACTCAAGGCGCGAGTTGTCGCACGTCTCCGTCTGACTGCGCGTTGTCACTGGCGCTGCCACCGACCGTGCGATGCGCCGCTCGACGCCAGAATCCTCCTCCGCCGCCATGGCTTCCCACTCCGGGTCCGGGCGGTGGAGGACAAGGCGCGAGAGGGCATCGGTGCCGCCGTTGCTCGTTCCGGGCACGTGCACCACGTCGCATGCAAACGAGCGGATGAAAGCCAGCCAGTGCGCTCGCTTTCTGCCTGGGGGTGGATCCTCGCTCTCGATCATGCCTTGGACGGCCCGCGAGTCAGTCTGGAGCTCAAAGCGGCGGCCGTCGAGGTAAGGCTCAAACTTTGTGAGAGCATGGACCACTGCTGCGAGCTCCTTGTCGGGCACACCGGCCGAGAGCTCGCGCTGCGCAAAGGCGCGTGCTGCGTATGCGACAGTGCGTGACGTGCCATCGGCGTCGCGCGCCGACAGTACGGCTCCGACCGCGCGTACCGACGCATCGGTGGCCACCACTGCCGTTACGCCCTCGCGCTGCGGGCCCAGCGCGCGGGCCATCACGCGGTTCCACACGGACGGCGCGTTGACCCATCCCATGGACATCGCGACGAACTCGTACAGCTCGCCCGTATCGAGCGAGAAAGCCATCTTTGCCCGGTCTTCTTCCCGGAGCATGACCTGATGGAACGCCTTGTCGAAGTCGATGCGCGTCCAGTACCTCCGCTTGCCGGCCGTGTCGAGCACCGAGCGCACCGAAAGCTTCTCGTTGTACTCCTTCACGCAGCGCTTGTTCAACTCGCGCGCATCCTGCACGACGCGCATAGAGCCCGGAAGCGGGTTCCCTTCGTCGTCGTATTGTGTCTCCTTACCGGCTTTTTTGACAAGGAAGACAGGGAGCGACCACGGGTGTGAGTCGATCGTACGCTCTGAGTCGGGGACGCGCCTCAGGTAGCCGGCTGCCTCGAGGGCGTCGAGTTCGGCCTGGAGGATCTGACGTTCATGTGCCGAGCGCGGACGGCTCGCACGCCAGAACGGCTCCGCCCCGTCCATGAGCATGACCGCTGCCTCGGCCAGCGGGGTGAACCGGCGTGGCGTCGTGCCGAGCACTAGGGCGGGGTAAGCGCTGAGCGCGCGAAGAATGCGCGCTCGCTGCTCGCGCGTCACGTCCTTGCCGAACGTCACGTCGCCCTCGGTGACTGTCTTCTGCCTGTCCTTTGCCGGCGCTGCCACGGCTGCCGTGAGGTTGATGCCTGTGTGCATCGGGATGCGGATAGCGTCACGCGACTCGGCTGTGATCACCAGCGTGTTCTCGTGCGCAACCGGGTACGCGTGTTCGTCGTTGAGGAAGCGCCACCCGAGGATAAAGTCTGCCACCATGTCTGGCACCACGAGCGCCCGGGTCAGGAACATGTGCTTGTTTCCCGACGCATCGGTGAGCTCGAGAGGGAGGGTAGCGGCCCCGATGATGAGGAGCGTTCGTTTGTCGATATCCACAGTCGAACGCTCCAGCGCCGACAGGTTGCCCTCGATCTCAAGGCCAAGCGTGTACGCCGTCTGCAACGAGATGAGCGAGAACGTGCTTCCGGAGTCGATGAGCGCGTCGGCGCTGTAGAAGCCGAGCGGGCCGGAGAGACGCGCCGTCACCCACTGGTTGGGTTCGTCATCGTCGCGCTGTGAAAACGCCCCAAACGACTCGTCCGAGTCACGTGCCGCACGGCCAACAGCCCAGGCCCAGGCCCAACCGCCGCACACCACACTCCTCTTCCTGTTGCTCGACATGCGTCTCGCTCTTGTTGTTGCAGCTGCTGTCTGCGTGCTCTCTCTGGCCGTCTCTGCCCGCCCGCTCGCCTCCACGCCCGAGGAGGACGTCCTCCACTTCCTCGAGGGTCTTGTCGAGGGCCTCGGCCACGACGTCAACGTCTCCGACTGCCAACCTGCTGCCACCAAGACGCTGCAGGACTTTGACACCGGCATTGTCGACCTCGAGAACGGATTCCGCCACAAGTCGGTCAAGGACATCTACGACGGCTTTGAGGCCCTCGGTTCCGCCTTCCACGAGCTCGGCATCGCCTTTGAGGATTGCGGCGAGGAGTACGCTGCCATCGCCAAGGACATCAAAAAAATCGCTACCGAGCTCGCTGAGCCCGACGGTGTCATCCGCGTCGTCGTCGAGGAAGTCATCAACATCTTTGTTCACGAGAAGCAGATCGTTGACGACGTCCGCGACCTCATTGCTGCCTGGAAGGCCGGCCAGTACTACCAGGCCGGCGTCGCTCTTGGCGAGATCGCCGGCATTCTCCTTGAGGACTGAGCCCACCGCCTCTCAAGTAATACACATTTCTTGTCACATGCGGAGCGTGCCTGTTGCCCAGAGCACCGACGCGATGCTGCCGACCACCCCGAGATGAAGGAGCATCCACGGCAGCCAAAGGGTCTCCAACCGCTGCGGCCCAGCTCCTCCTTCTGCATGCTCGGCATCGAGCGCATCAAACGCTTCGAGCTCGGCGTCAATACCAGCGTCAGCGGCCGCAATGTCGTCGGCGCTCAGCCGAATCCATGTCCGGCTGTGAGTTGGCAAGACGTTGTGGTTGCCGTGCCAAAAGTTGTGCATGTCGACCTCGTTCTTGATGGCTGCCAGCCGCCCGCTTGGCCCACTCCGCCATCGAGCACCGGACTCGTCACCGTCGGTGTTGGCGTATCCTTGCGGTGCCTCCCGGTTGTATGCCACCGTTTCTGCATGCTGTGCAACGCGATGTGCCCAGGCTCGTGCAGCCCCAGAGAGCTTGTCGCTCTCGGCACTCTCCTCCCACGTCGCGATGCCGTGCATCTCCAGCCCAGCTGACCGCAGCGGCCATGCCGTCTCGCCGTCGGCGACTCGCGCCACTGCGCCACCAAGCGGCACGAGCTCGATCGACGCGGTGGCGCCAACCAAATATTGGGCTGCAGTGCTGGCCAGCTCGGCGAGACCAGTTGCAAAAGCGTCAGCGCTCGCCGTCACACAGCCTGTGTCGAGGAACGTCGACGCCGACCAACGGTAGTGCTTGCCGTGCGGGTTGCCGGCATCAAACATCGCGTTGAGCTCTCGCGGCGAGACCACCGTGTCAAGCGTCAGCTCGCCGCCGAGCTCGATCAGCGCACCAACATACCGCCCGAGACTCGCCGAGGCAAGCCCGCGAGCGGCCACGCCGTCGTCCATGCAGCCGATGGCAACGAGGACCACGCCCTGTGAGAGCACAAACGTGTATGGCACAACAGTGTCTGGCGCCGCCTCTGACGAGTGCGGGTCGACCCAGCCAGCAACAAGCCGAAGCACGCCCGCAAGCGACTCCATCGGCAGCGTAACCATGACGAGACCAGCCTTGCCCAGCTGCACCGTCGAAAATGCAAACTGGGTGACAATGCCAAAGTTGCCGCCGCCGCCTTGCAGCGCCCACAGCAGTTCGTCGCGAGGTATCTCCGGCTCGGTCTCGTCGCCGGTATGCTCCAGCACGCCAAGGCCGACGACATCGCCACCGACGAGCACCATCTGCGCGCCCACGATAGCATCAGCGGTCAGTCCCGCGCGGCGTGCAAGCCATCCAACACCGCCGCCCAATGCAAGACCACCCACTCCGGTGTGAGAGATGAGGCCAGCCGGAACGGTCACCCCATGCGGCTCCAACACACGATCAACATCCGCCCATGTAGCCCCGCCGCCGACAAGCACCGTGCCCGGCCCTGAACTTCCGATCTTCACATCCACCAGCTCGCGCAGATCAATACACACGCTTCCTTCGGCCACACACAGTCCGCGCACCGAGTGCCCGCCTCCGCGGACAGTCACTGCCACGCCCAGCGACCACAGCGCGCTGACCACCGCCGCCACCTCGTCTGCAGACTGCGGCACCACCACGCACGCCGGCCTCACATCCACTGCCGCATTCCAAACTCGCCGGTAGCCATCATACTCGCTTCCATGTGCCGTCACCACCTTGCATCCCGTCTCATGTAGCTTCCGTAGCACTCTCTCCGCCAGCTCAGCCTCTGCCATGCCGAACTCTGTCAGGTGTTGTCGGCTGGCAGGGCGCAGCGACCATGACCCAGGAGCCGGTCCCCAAGCCCGTCACGTCCTCACGCCCACACACACACACACATACACACACACTCGACCTCAAACTCAACCACACACGCACATACGCATATACATCACATCACACTGCGCTGCATGTCGGAACCAGGTACGGCCTCTCTCTCCTTCTCCTCACCGCTCGCTTTCCATACACTGCCGCTCAGACTCACGCACAGGGCGTGGGAGAACAGACGGCGACCATGGACCGCCGCCGCTGCCGCCGCTGGCAGCCAAGGAGCAGAACCTACACTCGCGACTGGATGCTATGGAAGCAGACATGGAGCACATCCTAGCTCTTGTTGAGGGCTCGGGAAAGCTTCCTGCTTCGCCTCCTCAGTCCAAGGCTGCTGACCCGCCTACCGTCACCGCGAATGATTCCGACGACGAGTTTGCTGCTGCCTTTGGCGAGGGCTTCTCGGACGACGACAGCAGCCAGAATGGCGACCAGGATGGCGACCAGGATGGCGACCAAAGTGGGGACCAAGGTGGCGACCAAGATGGCGACCAGGATAGCGACCAGGATGGCGACCAAGGTCGGGTCCAAGGTGGCGACCAAGATGGCGACCAGGATAGCGACCAGGATGGCGACCAAGGTCGGGTCCAAGGTGGCGACCAAGATGGCGACCAGGATAGCGACAAAGGTGGCGACCAAGATGGTGAAGACGACCTAGGCAAGGTGTACAGCGACAACGACGTCGGCAATGTAGGCAGTGAAGACGACGAAGTGATCCGCATCGACGATCACAAGCCTGACCTTCCGTCTTCTCCCCATCCTGTGGCTGACCCTCCTATTGAGGTCGGTGGTGACGACGATGACGATCTGTTTGAAGCTGCTTTTGGTGACGACTTTGACTCTGCTGTCGAGACAGGCTCCGCCCCCAACCCAGGCACCGGCCCGTCTGCAGACGCCAACGCCGACGCCGACACCGACGCCGATGCCGAAGCTGCCGGGGCAATGTTTGCCTCCGCGTTTGAAGCGTCGGTCGTTGACACCCCGACCCGCAAGATGCAGATCTCCATCGACCGCAAGCGTAGCAGCGAAAAGATGGACTCAATCCTGGCTTCGTTCGACGAGGCCTTTCCCTCGCCCACACCCTCTATCCACGAGACCCAGGCCTGGCCAGCATCGCCTGTTGCCGGCGCCACTGAAGCCACTGGCAACGATGACGGCTTTGGTGCCAATGACGGCTTTGGCGCCGCCTTTGATGCCGCCTTTGACGACTTTGACCTCGATACCACACCCGACGCCAAGGGCAAGAAGGGCAAGGGCAAGAGCAAGAGCAAGCTGCAAAACACCGCATCGATTGACTCGCTGTTGCAGAACCTTGACGACGATGACGCTGCACATGACGACGACGACGACGGTCTCGACGAGACTTGGGCGCCCGAGCGCGACGGCAGCGCCTCCTCTGATGGCGGCGACGTCATCGACGACGGCGTCGACCCGCTTGCCGCCCTCCTCTCCACCATGGAAGACGACCGCGAACTTGATGCCGCCCTTGACAAGGGCAAGGACGAGGCCGACTCCGTATCTGGTCCAGACACGCCGGCGGCGGCCCAGCCGGAGCCGATCTCGCTCGCCAGCACGCCACGCAGCGAGAAGACGGTGGTTAAGGTTCCTGCTGCGCTCATCGACGCCTATGCTCACATGCAGGACTCGGCGCGCAAGACCATGGCCGCCGCCAAAGACCTCTACCTCCGCGACTTGGAGCGCTACGAGAAGCTTGGTGACCAGGTTCCGGCCATCAAGCTCATCAAGCCCAAGACGTATGCACACCGACTGGCTCTGGCGCTGCGGTCGTGCGGCAAGTCGGCCCGGTTCGTGGCCAAGACCAAGGGCGCAGCCATCTCGCTCAAGTTTCTCGAGTCGGACAAGCGCCTCGGCAAGTTCAACGAGAACAACACCAAGCTTGTCCGTGTTGTCCGCCGCATGGTCGTCAAGGCTGCCGGCGACGAAACCTACGACCACATGTCGCCCGCCCTCGACACCCTGGCCTCGGCCGTCGACGCTTACGCCACCACTGTCTCGGCCTTTATCGCCTCGGCCGGCGGCGCAACCGTCACCCCGATGGACGCCACCACGGAAGCCCACACCCACGCCGTGGTCGACGTCGCCAACGCCTACACCTCCGTCCTCAACTCGGCCGAGCTCGCCTGGTCGCTCGACGAGTCCCATGTTGTGCCCAAGCTCCTCTCGCTCGCCGAGGCGCACGCCGGCGCCGCTCCCGGTGCCCCTGTTCCCCGGCTCCCGCACAACGCCGACGACGTCTCGTCATCTAACTCGGCCGACGCCAACGCCGATGCCGACGCCGGTAACGACGCCGCCGACGATCAGGACCCACAGGCCCAAGCCGGAAATGACGTCCCGCTCGAGACCCTGGCCTCGCCTAACACCCGCCGCCGTCGCCGACCCAAGTCGTCCCGTCACTCCCGCCCTCTGCGCCGTGACTCGGACGCCTACTCGGCCTCCGCCTCGTGCGACGACAACCCCAAGGCCGCCGCCGATCTTTCTGATGCCTCTTCTGTCGCCTCCTCCGTCTCGGCGGGCAACGCAGCTCCCAACACCACTTCCGCCAACACCGCTGCCGCCACCACTCCTGCTAGTGGCAGCAATGGCGGTGGTGGCTGCTGCATCATCCTCTGATCCTCACCTAAACTCCCGCCCAATCCCTCGCCCGCCCGCCACCGCCGGTCCGCCACCGCCGGTCTGCCCCTGCCGGTCCGCCCCCGCGCCCGCCGCAGACAAGCAGCCACCCCACCCCCCCCGCCAACCACCTCCACCCCTGCCTCCCCCATCCGATTGATCTCAAAGCGGAATTTGTCGAACTTAAAATGGTCACTGATGGCATATATCCCCAGCCCTTTTCGTAGCGAGTATCTCGCCTAATTCCCTTTATAAATAACAACCTATTTCATACATAGTGTAGGGCGATTTACCTCATCTCATTTTTAGAATGGCTGTCTGCTCCT